AACACTTCGGAAATAGTAATTCTACCTAGTTTTTTTTTGCATTTAAACATCTAGCAGTTAAATGCGTAAATAAAAAATGATAACCCTTCCAAATTTTCCTGTCACAAGACAAAAGATATAAAAGAAACCCGAACCATAGTGATTTTTGCAAAATTCATTAACTTTATGAGTGCACATTGTGTAGCAATAAGTATTTTTTTGTATTATTGAAGTGTAAACTTCTTTAAAGGCGTTGTACACTTTTTTTGTATGGGTAAAATAGGTTAAACTCGCGTCAGGAGACGTGGCGTAAGACGAATACAATAAAATTGGAAAGGTTGTTGACTTTCAATATATTGGATGAAACAGTAATATTTTATTTCATCGTATTATAATAATAAGTCTCTATCTAGGAGGTCCAGGTCGCAGCTTTATTGCGAAGTAAATGCATTTTTTTACAATAGATGTCGCTAGGTGCGCTTAAATGTGATTCATGTAAGTTGATTTTTCTGAGAGATAAACTTCTTAATGTACTTAATATAAATTGTCATGTTTGTGTACGATAGCGCAATAAATAAATATTACATTCCACCACATAAATGATAGTGCTTTAATACTGACAGTTAAAGCAATTCGTGCAAAATTATTCCCTAACCATTCCAAAATATCAAAAATGCACAATGTTAATATAATATTCAAGTTGGCACTCCCAGAGGGCAACCAGTCGTTTTTTATTCTTCAACTAAGGGTTCGTTGAGGACCTTGGAGAAGAACATAAACTTTTGGTCACAAAATTAAAAACAGATGTTTTAAGTGTAAAGGGGGTAGAGATTAGGCTCGCTTGCATGGACCCTTAATCCACAAACATAGTATCCATCTGGGACGACATATAAAATATCCAGAGGAAATGAAATCTCTAAAGGCTAGGAACGTACTAAGCTTCTTGAATGCTGTTGGGCTAAAAAAATACTTCAACTAGGTGGCGGCAAGCCATAATAGATCTTTTGGGTTGCAGAGACTACAGTTCAATTAGGATTGCATAGCCTCAAAATCTGAATAATAATAATAATTAGAGTTGGAGGAGATTTATGTATGAAACCTAGCACTTGTACCAGCATCAGCTTGAATATGCTGCCAAAGACTTGCCTTGTGTGTTAAAGCACCATCTGACAGTCTAGAGATAAAAAAAAGTGTATGAATCCTAGCCAATACTTAATGCACTGTTTATTAATTGCTGACTAGTAATTTTATTTATTTTTATTTTATTTTTATTTTTACAGTTTTTGGGAAACTTACAGCTAGTTTCTCTTACTTGCTATTCTGCATAATATTTATGTTTAAGGCCAATTAATAGTTTCCGCAGATATTTACAGTAGTAATTAATAAAGTTGGCATGAAGCGATGAATGGATCAAGTGATACTAATCCTGATTTAAAAGGACTTTTGATTTTACTGTAAGGACTTTTATTTTGAGTAGAATTGATTTTATTAAAATATATATTAACATAACATCAGTGGAAAAGCAAAATTGCTTAGACACCACTTGGGTGCTGCTTAAAAATTGACTTAATTTCACTATTAATTAATGTTAATTTTTATGCTGCACCAAAGTCGCATATAAGTAATTTTGCCTTTCCACTGTTGATAAGGTCTCAACTTTTATAATTTTAAGACAGCTAGCACATATGTTACAAGAGTTTATTTGATCATAGTAAAAGAAAGACACAAATGGCTATTTAGACAAAAAAAATGCGCCTAAATGTGTGCAAAAATTAAGGGACCTGTTCCTTATTTGACTAAAGAAAATTGTAATGATCTATGTAAACTTTTATAATTTTAATAAAAAAGCAATGTAAATCTTTGTTCTGGCAATATAGTGTTCCTGTTTATGTGTCATAAATCTGTTATATTCTATCCTTCCTTAATAAACAATTCTGCAATGAAAAAAGAAGAAAGATTTTTTTAAAATATTCCCTCCATGAGTCTGATGATTAAAGATTTATTTAAAAACCAATTCAATTGTAACAAATTTTCAGATTTTTTTAAGTACCTTCCATCTAGCTACCCTCTATTCAAATTGAGTTGCAATATTTTCTTCTAGATTTTTTAGTTAAAAATTAAGGTATTAAAATTCTTCTTTTACCTCATCAAACTATAATTAGCCTTTATCTACTCTTGCATCATGCTGCTGATGCAGATAATAATGTATCTTACTTAATCTTTAATTAGTTTTCCCAATTGGTGATTTCATAATATAGAAAAGAACATCAAAACATCTTGTTGAAGTATCCAATACTAGGTAAGACACATTCAATCAATGGCAACATGAAAAGTTATCTTCCTCATTAGGCACCTACCTCCTGCAATGATAACCAATTTGGAATGGAAGCATGCAGTTGGAATAGATATAATATTCTTTGACTAACCTGTTAATCTTGCTAAAGTCATATAAAACGGTAACGCCCCTATGGACGAGAGCAGACGAACGGGAATATGAGATCCTGGCTTCGACGAAGCTTGCACCAGGGGAACACGTCCTCGCGACACGCCGGGAGAACCAACCTGTCACAAATGACACATACACGACTATTAGCCTAAATTATGTTGTACACTTTTCTATTTCAAAAACTCACACATCTAACTACTATTCTAACCAATTTCTACAACCGCAATGTACGCACCAGCTGGCGAAAACGTGGTGTCCACGAACGAATACCTACTATACGTAAATATAGGAGTAGATAGTTATTCGATACTACGTCGTCAGTACCTTCTTCCACTGTCTATGACGATGCTAAACACCAAGTGAAACTTCCAAACTTCACGCCACTACAACAAGAACACTATTCACAATCAGCTTTGAATAAATATAAATTAGATTTTTGATAAAATTCAATACAACACGTTTCCGTGAACAGGAATGACGGACGACAGAAAATAAATGAAATTTTACACTTTCTTATGTTTCTAGAACTATGTTCACACCGGAAGCGAACATTTTTATAAACATAAAATAGTGAAAACAATTAGATTTGTTTAGACTGAAGAAATATTTCATATTTTTGTATTCGTATGCAAAATTAAAACAATTAATTTTACCAATCAAATTAATAATAAGAAAATAGGAATTAGAATTAAATTAAAATAATTGACAAGCGGAAACTCAAAATATTCAACCTTTTTTGTCTATGGCTTCATGAAGTAACTGCCTGAGTTCTAAACTCACGCTCCAGATGCAGCAATTCAAAACTTGACATGAATATTATGTTTCATACATTTTAATTTTTTATCTCAAACTAAAAGTCAGGGTAAAAATGTGCACTCAGAACGTGGGTTTAATGGAGGCCATACACGCTAGGGTTTGCATGATGGTTATGCATATACATGCATAACCGACATGCAAACCCTAGCGTGTATGTGATAAAACTGTACAGTTATCGGTGCATGTACATGCAACCGAACAAATATCAAAATTGATATTTTAAGCCGCTCGGTTATGCATGCGCGAGCATAACCGAGCGTGTGTGGCGTCCGGCGAGCTTGCCTGTCTCAGTTCTCAGTTTTTAATTGTTCCGACGGCGGAAGGTCCTAGCACCATCGCGTCGTTTCGAAAATGGCTAGTCGCAAGCGCAATGCAACATTAGAAGAATTTATAGAGAGTTATAAGCCGGAACCTTGTCTTTGGCGTAAAGTGCAAAGAATACCAGAGATTTAATAAGGTCAAGGAATTAGTGCCCACAGCTACGAAAGAAGATGTGATTAAAAAAAGATATTCCATTCACAGTACTTAATAGGCGTTCTACACACAGCGTCACGTAGCTCAACTGAGAGTAATGGCAAAACTGTACATGTAAACCCTAACGTGTATGTGCAATATGAAACTCGGTTATGCATGTCGGTTATGCATGTACATGCATAATCTAGTGTGTATGGCCTCCATAAAACGTGACACTGGGTGTCCGTGATAATAGCGTACACTAAATCAAACTGTGTAACAACCTCGAGTTTGATTAATAGCCAATTCGCTAATTGTTTTTGAGACAGGTGGAAGTGATAATCATCGATCTATTTAGTGATTCGATGAGATCGATGTTTTGAAAAGCATCAATGGATATACAATTTTATGTTTACTCACATTGATGTCGATTCTGGGATGATTCTGTAAACCTAAACTTAATTTTTACAACAGTGGTGCCAATTCTGGCGTGATTCTCTAAACTTAAAACTAAATTTAACATCAGTCTCTCCTTTTCATTCTGTATAGAGAATGACAAGGATATACTGCTGTCAAATTTAAGTTTAGGTTTAGAGAATCATGCTAGAATCGACACCACTGGTGTCGACTAAATTAAGCATCAGTCTCTCCTTTTCATTCTGTATAGAGAATGACAAGGATACACTGTTGGCAAATTTAAGTTTAGATTTAGAGAATCGTACTAGAATCGACACCACTGACTTTTAAATTTAGCTTTAAGTAGTGAAGCATTCCGGCTAGCATATGCTATTATCATGGACACGACGACTGGTACCGATAAAACAACGGACGAGTAGGAAAACAGGAGTCTTTTCATCCTTTCTTACTCTTTTTTGTAAGGACACCATTTCACCATCTTACCATACCACCTATTTATCAGCACTTCAGCAGCGCCTGTCCTACCGTGTGGATTCTGGCGTGATTCTTTCTCTAAACCTAAAATTAAATTTGTAACTACAGTTTATCTTTCGTGTTATTTTTTACACAGAATGAAAAGGAGAGATTGACGATTCTGGCACGATTCTCTAAATCTAAACTTTAATTTGACAATAGTGCATTCTTGCTATTCTCTATACAGAATGAAAAGGAGAGATTGATGTTATATATTTAGTTTTAGGTTTAGAGAATCACGCCAGAATCGACACCATTGATATTTTTAGTAGTGCCACAAGATTTTGATCGCACTTATTGTAGCCGGCCTAAGCTCTTCCAGTGACATTTGACAGTGACTGACAATGACATTTCTTTCTTTTGACAAATGATTGCACGGATTACGAATAGGATTTCATCAATGTTGTAGTAAAATTTGAATATTACGAACAATAAATCGAATACAATAGAAAACCAAAGTGGAAAAGTAATAAAACTGTAGAACGTGTGATCTGTAGGGCTTTAATACAGAAATGGTAAGCTTATGAAATTTATACTCGCCTATTACATCGTGTTAGGTTATGTCAAATGCCCTTGTGATCGCTAAAATAATCTATATTTTTATTACAGCATACATGCCGACAGTTATTTTACAGTCCAGCACGTTGGAAATGCCTCTTACCTATTAATGTCAAACCTGCAGTATTTTCATTAAAATCCGATCAAGTAAGTACAAAGAAGAATAAGTTGAAATTTAGTTTTTCATTATTTCGTACCAATGTACCAAAGTCCGTGTAGTGGTAGTGAATCAAATTAAATAATTTAATTAAGTACTACACGACAATTCAGAAAAATGAAATTTCAAATTAAAACCATGTTTGTAGTTTACAGTACAAGAATGCCGCCACTACTCCGGAAGGAAGGGTTTCTTCTCATCTATTATCGAAAACATAAAAGAAGACATAGCAAAAAACAAAGAGATGAAAGATAACATCAAAAAATTCAGAGAAGAGGCTCAGAAACTAGAAAACTCCGAGGCATTACAGGTATTTTACTACATATTGGTGCTATCTTTGTCTGCCGATCACCGACCTGACCGATACGATCTGTCCTACAAAGGATGCGAAACATCAATAAATAAATATGATCAGTACGTCTAACACGTTGAAACTGGTTTTATGTAATGATTAATGTGCGTGACAAACTAACAAACAAATACGATTTTCTAAACTGAACTAAACTAAACTTAATTTTAACAACAGTATATCTGTGTTGTTATCTTTACAGAATGCTAAGTTTAGAGAATTATGCCAGAAGCGACACGATTGTCTTGAGTCTGTCTTGTTAAAGCAGTTTCCGCTTCTACTCTTCAAAGGCTTGGTAAATTATTTAACTTTTGATTCATAGGCCGCAAGAAAGAAGTTCCATGCAGTAGAGTCAGAAGCTTCAAAGAGTTCTGAAGTTCTAAAGGAGACCTTGGAAGGTATTAAGGGCAAAGTTGGACATGTCCTCGAGGAAGCAAGCAAGACTGAGATTGCCAGGAAAGCTGGTTAGTACAATATTGATTGTTTGCGAAAAGTTTGAAATCTTCGATAAAAGCCATGATGGCTTTAGGAAGAAACAGTGTACAGTTTGGTTGTTTATAAAAAATAAATGTGTCCAGGGGGCCATTCGCCTAACGGAAATGCTTTGAAAAACACTAACGCTTTCAATTTTATTTTGTTATTTCTGACTGCCGAAGGTTTTCGAATACCTCACGCTCATTTTTTTTTAATATTGTTATTACCAATGCAAATGAAAAAAAAAGAACGTGAGGTATTTGAAAATCTCAGGCGGCTAGAAATAACAAAATAAAATCGTCAGCATTGGTGTTTTCCAAAGCATTTCCGTTAGGCGAATGGGTCCCAGAAAATAATAAAAGTAATATAAAATAAATAAAATAAAAATAGCCTTTATTCTCTGATAGTTATACTACTTACTAACTAGCCGTATTACTACTTTCCTATTGCTACAATTAGATTTAATTTTACAATGCTTACACTAATAAAAGAAAATTGGTAACACCAGCACTATTTTAATCAGGTTGTCCTCCTCGGACATAGGCCTCCTCTAGAATTTTCCATTTTTTTTGGAGGCCTAATGAAAGTAATAGTAGATAAAAAATATGCTATTGGAATCCTATTGGATATGTCGAAAGCATATGATAGTGATAATCATAAAATTCAACTTAATAAATTTTAAGGAATAGGCATTCGCGGAACACAATTAGTTTAAAAGTTATTTGCAAAACCGTCAGCATTGGTTGTAATACAATATTTTGATCGTATACACAAAGAAAAAATAGAGGTTCTCTCTGAAGGTATAACAAATAATGTCACAATAAGGAATTATGAATAAGACATCCTCTCCTCTCCAATTGCGATACCCTATAGGGTCCTTAATGCACTTTTTTCTGTTAAAATCACCTTTGTATCTCCATTATGGTCTGCATAAATGTTACATTAAATTGAATTGATTGAAAAGCATTTGTATTCAATACTGTTACTGATGTAGCTTGTTTTTAAACATATGCATTTATGATTAAAACTATTGAATATTACTTACTTAACTATTAAACTGTTCATTTTAATTACAGGCAAGATAACAGAAGACATTTCAAAGAGTGCAAAGGATGCAGCTGAGAGTATAGCTGACACAAAGCAAAAAATTGGACAAACGTCTGCCTTCAAAACTATATCACATGTAAGTTGTTTGCTTTAGTACTTTCTTCTTGGTTCATCAGGTAGTTTATTGAAAGTTATTGACGTAAATTTTTTCTTTATTCACATATTCAAAACTTTTCAGAGATATTTTGGTTTGATATGTCGCATGGTTTCACATTTTAATACAATTTTTACTCAGAAGTGATATCACAAGCCACCATTCCCAAACTTTGGTGTGCATTATCTTTACAATTATTTTAGTTGAGGGACAAAAGAAAAAAACAAATATTCTTAATTTTTTGATAATCTAACTGACAGACTAAATAGAATTCCGTTTACCCTGTCATCACCTACCACCATATTACATGTATAAGTACTATTATTTTTAAATATTTTTTATTGATATTTATTGTTATTTTTTTACAAATTTTTTATTGATATTTGATTATTGAATTGAAAGTATTGACATATTATTTAAAGTATTTGCCCAATTTATAGACATTTTTTATTGTGTTAACATTTTGATTTTTGTAGCATGCTAGTATGGAAATTATGTTTAGTTGCATAATTTAATTGTCATTATTATTAAATTGCTAGTATTGATAGGTAATTTATAGTTTTGACCAATTTTATTGCCATTTGATTATTGAATTGACATACTGTATTGATTGCTTTTGCCCAATTTATTGATGTTTGATTATTGATTACTAGTATTTCATTATTGAATATTCTCAGTATTGACATATTATTTAAAGGGTTTTCCAAATTTATTGATTTTTTATTGTATTGCCAGTATTGACGTTTTGAGTTTTGCAATTTGAATCTTAGAATATAAATTAAGAATATATGTAATAATTTATTTGTATGCCGATATTGGAACGACATGTTATGTACGTGTTTCATAGAACACCACATTTTCTTACACATGTTACAAATAAAATATCTTTATTTCCAATACTGTACTGAACTGAACTGTACCATGAAAAAAAATTCTAAGACTGTTTTGTAATGCTCTAATCTGATTGTCCTTAATCGTTGCACAGTCACAGGGTGTTTCATATAGAGGCTGAATACAATTTTTCAAGAGCAGAATCCTTACATGTACCACAACAAATAGTAACATCTGTGGTTGTGGTATTATAGCTTCTAAATGAAAGAAAATCAATCAACATAAAGAATAAAATATCTTTATATATATAATTCTTCTGTGAGTGTGTATGTCACTGAACTTCTCTTAAACGACTGGACCGATTTTGATGAAATTTTTTGTGTGTGTTCAAGGGGATCTGAGAATGGTTTAGATTCACAATTTTGTCCGCTGGACAATGTTTTTTTAATAATTTTTTTTTATGGCGGTAGCAATTTCTCTGGGTCAGCTAGTTAATTTATAAATCCTTAATAACATAAAAAAAAAATCATTCCACTTCCATATGAAAGTATAACGTCCCTATTGTTTAGCTCTAAGTAAGGCAGCACTAGTTGTCAAAATGAACTGACAGATGTAATGGGGGATTCCCCGCGTATGCGCGAGCGCTTGGCATTCTGTGTATTGGAACCTTGTGATGTGGATGTGTCTATTTCATAAACTTAATTTCTAAAGTAAACCGAGTTTTATCTAATAGTAGGTATATATTTAAATTTGCAGGCTACAGAAGTGGTGAAAAACGAAATAGCGTCGAAAGGAATCGAAGGTCGAGTGTACGTCTCGCCGATGGTTCTACGAAAACGGGTAGAGGTAAGATAAATAAGCCTCCAAATTATCTTATTTCAACTCCTACAATTAAAAATAAAAAAAAATAAACAAAAATTAAACCGACTTCAAAATGGAAAATGGATGTAAAAAATAATATCTGGTTCATGATTTGGAAGTTGGGCGGGTCAAGATTGAAAGACGTATTATTACCGATCAGGAGCTCTACTCTCTTTCTCCGAAACGAAATTTCGGCAACGAACGAATTTTAAACGAAATTTTGCCAGTGACTCTACTCTATTTCATCTTCGAACACGAACATAAAGTTCGGAATCACAGACAATTATCGTGAACGAATGGAATGAGTTACGTTTGTGAGTTCTTTTTGTCTACACTTTTTAGATAATGTTTTTTACTTCTAAACAATATTACTTTATGACAACATTTTTGATTACATTAAAACAACCTCTTTTGACAGTGTTAGCCGACTAATTTGTAGAGTTGATGCAATCGCATGTATGTCAACCTAAATTTGTCGTGTAACACTTTGAAGTATTGGCAATACATTAATAAACAAAACTTTGATTTATTTATAAATTTTTCATACTAAAAAATGTTCCTCACGCTAAGCAGCCTTAATTAAAAATACTCTAGTTGTAATTTTAGGTTTAATTTAAACAAAAATCTCAAAACGAAAATGAAAAAGTAACACTTTTCATTTCGTCAATATGAGGTTAAAATTTCGAACAATTGTCTGTCAAATTCAACATTTAGTTAAAATTTTTGTGAATTAGAGTAGGCTTGGAGAATTTAAATGTCAAACTATTTTCGGACGAACGAATTTTCGAAATGAAATACAAACAGAGTAAGGAACGTGCAAAATTTCGATACGAAATTTCGTTTTTCGTTGAAATAGAGTAGGCCTCCAGAAACGGAAATCTATTTAATGTTTCAATCTTGACTTCGGTTTTATTTATTGTTTAAAAAAATATTTCATCCATTTTAGTTAAAATTACATCGTCCAAGTAAACAATAACACAATTGACGGAGAAATCGGTGAACATGCATAAAAAACATCTTGAGTGCCTTTGAAATTTGAAGGTTTCCCTCGATTTCCCCGGATTTCACCATCAGATCCTGACTTCGTTCCAATGGGACCGCCTCGGAGTAAGTTCGAATAAAAGAAGAATTTTGGTAATCGGTCCACAATTGATGGAGAAATCGGTGAACATACATAAAATATATATATATATATATATGCAGTCAAACACAGAACCTCCTCCTTTTTTGAAGTCGGTTCAAAAAAAAAAAAAAAGGAGGAGGTTCTGTGTTTGACTGCATATATATATATGCACTGCACACTGCATATATATATATATGCAGTTAAACACAGAACCTCCTCCTTTTTTGAAGTCGGTTAAAAACTATGCATCTCCTTTCATTTTTAATGAATTTCTAGAATATGACCCTTTTTTCAAGTATATATTTTTATGTACCTTGTATTTGAAAAGCTGATTTTTATTGTTGACCAGTGGCCCGCCCTCGCTTTGCTTCGGTGTAGAGCTGTAGTGTAGACGATAGTTTTTGTTCACAGATGAATATATACATTTCTGGGCTAGGATAGTATCAAAGCTGAGATAATGACTTGTTTTTGATCCAGTACATTTATTTTCACATCAATGAAGTATACTAAAATGTTTCTCTCTTTCTCTCATACTTTCAAACCCAATGACTCACAATATTTCACTTCGAAAAATTACAACTGTTCCGTTTTTTTTAATAGCGTCACCTTTACTGAGACAGGTAAATAAATACTAGCTTGTCTAGTATCGGTTAAACAATCACTTTTTTTTCGTTTTCGAAGTGAAAACACTAAGAGGTTAATTTCAAATGCCAGTATGGAAAATTTCAATTCCATTAAACCAATTATAATGCTTTCATTGTAAAAATATGGACGACCTCCGTGGTCGAGTGGTTTGTGCGCCGGGTTCCATGGTGTCGCCGACTCGAGAGGTCCCGGGTTCGAATCCCGGTGGGGGCAGATGTTTGTGTGATGAATACGAGCATTTGTACTCCACCTTCACAACATACCTGTATATGTACTGTATATGTATTCTATCCGTTATCCTAGTATCCCATAACACAAGCCTTACAGTGCTTACTTTGGAGCTAGGCTAATTGGTGTGTGTTGGAAATTTATTTATTTATTATTTATTATATGTTTCGCCGCAGGTAGCGATGGAGTCTCGGTCATTTGAACCGGACACTCACACAACGGGCGTGGAATTGCATCGAGACTCCAAATTCTATCAACAATGGGAGAACTTCAAGAACAACAACCAGTATGTCAACAAGGTAAATAACTCTTTAGTTATCAACTATATTAAACATAAATCAATCACCCTATGTAGCCCTTGAAAACCTTATAATCACCCTTAAAAACCTTATAAGCATAAATATTTTTAAAATCGGGTATGAGAAGTAATTATTTGACATGCCATTTAAAAATTTTGTTTAGCAAAAAGAAAACGGCATAGAAATTAGATTTTGAGTTCCGTCTTCTTCCTGGTCAGCGTGGAATTTTTGTAGTAAATTTTGTTTTTTAGATCTAGCAGTTATATGTTTAAAAGTATTTGGCAACAAAGATTGTGTTAGCAGTAATAAAAATCAGACTAAAATGCTTGTTTTAGAAAATAATCATAATAATGGTCAGTAATTTAAACATAAGCAGGCAGCTTATATTGTTATGTCAGCAAAATATACAGGCAAACATTATTGGGCAACAATATTATAGAATCGGGCAATTCACAGTTTGGCTTAAGAATTTATGTATGACCAATGTTGGTCGGGCATTGTATTTAAGGAGTGTTAGCCTCCGAATTTCACTTGCGCGGTGTAGGCTTCCATACAATGTGATCAAAGCGTATGTATCTATTAAGGAGGCGACTGATTATTTCCTCCATATTGGTTATTTATGGGGTATGATAATGTCGCCGCCACAACAACAATATAAAACTACCAAAGATATTATGAATCCATATATATTTCCTCTACAGGTATTAGATTGGAAACTGAAATACGAAGAATCAGACAACCCAGTAGTGAAAGCATCTCGTTTCGTCACCGAGAAAGTCAGCAGTCTCTTCGGCAACATGTTCGAGAACACGGAACTATCGAAAACCCTCACGGAAATCTGCAAGATTGAGCCCACTTTCACAGCCCAGAAGTTTTTGGAAGACTGCTCTACGGATATCATACCGAATATCTTAGAAGCCATGGTTCGGGGAGACCTGGATATTCTCAAAGACTGGTGTTACGAAGGAGTTTTCAACATAATAGCAACACCGATCAAGCAGTGCAAACAGCTCGGCTACAGATTGGATTCGAAAATTTTAGACATCGAACAAATAGAACTAGTCATGGGCAAAATGATGGACCAAGGGCCCGTTTTAGTGATCACATTCCAATCTCAGCAGATAATGTGCGTGAGAGACGCGAAGGACAACGTTATCGAAGGAGACCCGGATAAAGTGATGCGAGTGAATTACGTTTGGGTCCTTTGTCGAGATCCTCAGGAAATGAACCCGAAGCAAGCCTGGAGATTATTAGAACTCTCCGCTAACAGTGTAGAACAGTTGATATAGATAGAAAGTTGTGTACATATGACTGTGTAGATTAAATCGTTGACAATTAGTGTTTGTTTCAGTAAACCTGATCTGTGGAGCTCGCTTGCTATTACGAGGACCTGTTATCAGTGGTTTAAAACTATTTTTTACTATTCAACTATCTAACATTACTATCTAAAAACTGAAATTTTAATCTTAGTTTTTATCTAAAAGAGATGGTAGTTGATTTAAATATGATGTTAAATTACTGAAATGAAGGTCTGTGATTGGATTTTCAAGCAGAGATATGCTCCGATGTCCTAACTTCCTACCGCTGTAGTGGTGGTTGAAAACAAAGCTGTGATGCTTTTTAAAACTTTAAATATTAGCACTGAACTTTAAAATATTAAAAAAATATAAAATTTAATGAAATTGTGTCGGGGTAAAAAATTAATTGACTGGTAACTAGCATTGCAGTTGCATCAAATATCTAATCTGTTGTAGGAGTTCTCTTTTTGTTTCAATACAACTGCTTTTTGTGCAATGTACATGTTAGGAATTTGTTATTTTAAGTTTTAGTACTTTCGGAACCCTGGAATTTGATTTAGCTATTGAAATAACGAAACTTGTTTCTAGTTTAAAATCTTATGTTGGTTAATTCAAACTAATATTGTGAACCAACCAATACCATTGTGAATACCAACGGACATTCACTTAGCTTTTAACATGTTAAAAGATAAGTAGACAGTTTTAAAACTGTTTCAGGGTTTCGCGAGCAACTCAACATTTTGAGTTATAATTTGTTTATAGTTATTTTTTTATAACTTATAATAGTTTTATTTTATAGACGTTTATTTATTTTAGTAAAAGTGTTTGTTTTAATGTTCCGTTATATATTTTTGTGCATTTTACATCGGCTACTAAGCGAGTACAAGAATTTTGTGAGTCGATGAAAGAATAAAGATGTTTTTACCAGTGTTCAAGTCGTCAACTGTGGTATTATTTAATGTAGACAGTAGAATATGTACAAAGTATATGTTTATACCTACATTTTATTTGTGGGTAGCTCCCAAACTATACAAAACAGATATTAAAAGACAGTATGGTTACTTGTGTTCTGCATCAGGCAAAGTATTTTTTTTTTCTCTTTAATTAGCATTACGCTGCTTACAGAAAATTCTGTCTTTACGCAAAGTCACTTTATAGGTTCTGATCACCAAATAAAATGGGGGCCCACCGCACGTACTTTGCTTTCTGGAATGGTCAATATTTTTGAGTAAAATGTGAAATTGAAGTATAGATCTCAACCATATTAAAAACCCTAGATACACCACGTGCGCTCAAAATGTGTCCCAATCAAGAAGTGCTTGAACACGACTCAAGCACTTCTTGATTCACAGTCACGCGCGGACCTTTGAAAAGTCAACGTGCCGCTGAGCTCCGTGAAAACAGGAGAAAAAAATACTTTTAGAATGTAAAATGACGTTTTTTCGACAGGTATCTAATCAATATTTGGTTATTTAACGCATTTTGAAGTAAAATTTGTTTTAATACTTACTATAAACTGATTTAATAGAAAATATTTGTGATATTCAAATGCATGGTCGATAATATAGCCGTCTCTTTTCCTCGCGGACCGTACCTGCTTTATTACTAACAGCGCATTCAGAATTGGACGTGAGTCAAAGAAATAAGGTCTTTATTCTTCTGCATGTAGCAATAAGTCGTAAAATTTTACGAGCTTACATATCGAACTGTCGTAACTCTGACGCATGCGTTTTAATTAAGGCCTTATACAGTATGCTTTAAAGGTGATTTTCAATGTTTAAATAATGCCTTATATTGTTTAGACTACGCGATCATCTTACGGAGCTCCGTGGATCGTCCAATGTACCTTTTGGACAGGTTTCGGGCATGATTTTGTTTGTGTTGGTGTATCTAGGGTTTTAATATCGTTGATTGACCTGCCTATTCTACGAGTGCGAAATGTCAATGTCAAATTTAGTATGGAAACTTGAACGGCAGCGCCACGACGGACGTAACGAGAACTAAAATCAGTACACATTTGACAATGACATTTCGCACTCGCAAATTATTCGAATTCGATATTCGTTCGTGCTTAAGGTAATCGTTAAAAGAAAAAAATCGTCTGCAATGATCAATTCGTAATTTTCTCAACTCGTGGCAGAAATCTGCCATCTCCACAGATGGCAGTTTTTTGCCATTGGCAAAAAACTGCCATTTACATAGACAAGGGGATACTTGGATTTTTGTACTGCATTAAGACGGGAAATTGCTGCCAATTTTCTTCCCGAGATAAATAGAAATAATAATTGCAGTGCTTATCAGGGGAAGTTAACTTCGACGCGGAAGAATCCCTAAACGGGGATCCCGGGACGGGAAGCAGCTTAGAGGGTATTCGCAGGGTTTTTTAGCGGATATTATGCCGTAAAGCGCCCGTAAGAGTTGTGGGGTCCTCAGTGGGCAGCCACTGCTGGGGCTCGTAAGGTTTGCGGGAGCCAGGTGTGAGGTCCGTTCGGCGGTGTGCCTCTTAAAGGCGCCGTCGTCTGTAAATAGTATTATTTGCCTGAGTATCAAAAAAAAAAGAAAAAAAAGGGAAGTTAACTTCTGATGAACAAAGTAGTTAGATCTGAAAGTTTGATCAACAGGAATAACCGCTACATTTGACGATCTCCGTGGCCGAGTGGTTTGTACGCCGGTCTTCATGGTGTCGCCGACTCTAGAGGTACCGGTTTCAAATCCCGGTGGGGGTAGATGTTTGAGTCCCATAACACAAACCTTATAGTGCTTACTTTGGGGCTAGGCAAATTGATGTGAGTATTGTTGTAAAAAAACCAGTCAAAAACGTTTAAGGCACTATTCCGTGCATCGCCATCGATCGCGGCCGCGGCCTGCGACTGTCGTCGATCGCTCGCGACAATAGTCATAGTATGAAAATGTATGGCACCGCTTCCGAGGCCAGCGACAGACGCGCGGCCGACGACTGTCGTGAGCCGCGCGTGACTCTCGCTCGCTTTTCATGGCGCAAACATGTATAGGAACGCAGGAGAAAACATCCGAAACTTTTTGAAGTGAAACTTCTTTATCGGCGTTGGAAAAAAAATTACCGTCACATTTTTATTCGGTTACGCGTCACGTTTTTTGGTTACGCGCCATCTTTTTTTTAAAAGAGCACTATTTACCTCATCCGAACAATTGCTTCTTCTGTCAACTTTAAAAAAAAAAAGTATCGACAGCAAATGTTCGTGTTTCACACAAGGTAAGGTAAGGTAAGGTAAGGTGTAGTTATACCCCTTTAGTGGGTGAGTTTTTGAAAAATCTTAGCGCACGCCTATATATATATTTCTGGAAAGTTGCATGTAGATCATTTTTCGAAAAAAATAAGGCCATAAAGAAGTTTCACTTCTTACGTGTGTACACTAGTACACGCACACATTTTTTTTTCATAACAATACTTACACTATTGTTTATCCTATTTATTAATGACATAAAAAACTGTTTTACGAACTCCAGGTTCCTCATGTACGCAAATGATATGAAAATTTACAAACCCTGTAGGACCGTAGACGATTGTCATATGCTACAAGAAGATTTAGACAGACTTTCTTATTATTGTAGAAAAAATAAACTTCACTTAGGATAAGTGCAATTCTATAATCTTCACCAAAAAGAAAAAAAACGTTTTGTACTATACATATAATATTAACGGTGTTAACATAAATAAAGTACATAATATTCGCGATCTAGGGGTGGTGATTGACAGTAAACTGCATTTTGACGAACATATCAACAATATCATAAACAAAGCCTATCGTATGTATGGTTTTGTCATGAGGTCATCCACGGATTTCAGGCGATCTTCTACTTTTCTTACTCTCTACATGGCCTTGGTTCGCTCTCAGCTTGAATTCGCAGTTCCAATTTGGTGTCCGCTTTACGAATCATATGTGGACAGACTTGAAAAGGTTCAAAAGAAGTTTTTACGTAGGATACATTACAAGTTACATCATTGTAGAATTTCTTATGCGGAATTGTTGACTCATTACGGACTTTTGAGCTTGGAGTCCAGACGTTACCTACTCATGGCCATGATGTTACATGGTATTTGTAATAACGGGTTCGATTGTAATAACCTTACAAATTATTTGTGTTATGTTGTACCTAGATCGGTATTCCGCAGAGGGGTGCGCGCCTCGGCTGTTTTATACTGGGACCTGTAGAACGAATGCGGGAGTGCGTGCGCCCCTTCGGCGACTACTGGATAATTATAACACAAACTTTGCAGAATTAGACATATTTGGGTTCTCAAAATTAAAGTTTAAAAAAATGGTAGTAGAAACATTTTCAAATAGAACGGGTTGATGGAATTTGGTATCATACTTGTATCTGTACCGGTTCATCGCGGTTTTTTAGTTTATTATTCCGTAGTGAGAAGATAATAAACTTCTCCTTTCATCATTAATTTGTGGACATTGGTGTGGGTTGTACACTTACCTAATTAATATCTACATTATAATTTTATGTAATATTTAGTGTATAACTTTTCTATGTTCCTAAAATAAAATAAAATACAAATGCTTTTGAATCAATATTTGTTGTATCCTTCCTGCTTTTAAAGATAGGGTCGATTGGTTCTCTTTTTTCATAATATAACAACATTCATTTTTTCATTGCTGTTCATTTTTCACTTACCTATACTTTATAATTGTTAGTAATAAATCTAACAAACATGAAAATACAGTTCAGTACAGTACTCCGTTGCATGGCGAATTCGATAATTTAATGCTGATAATTTTATTTACTGAGTTCATATAAAAAAAACGAGCGACCTTACAGTAGTCGCGTATGATGTGTAACATTTGAAACCTCACCTTATATTAGTAAAAAAAGAAATAAAACCTACTACAGATGGAATATGCCATTTGAACATTATGTTCTAAAATCAAATCAAATAGCGCGCGCCTTCGCGACTTCCTGTTACACACTTCCGTCCCATTTCAAGAAAACACTCCCACAAATTGCAGGAAGGATGTTACACATCAAAAACACAGTTTCTTATC